CAGGTGGTAAGTGCAGGTGGTTACAAATAGGGGAGGGGAAGAGTTGGGTTGCCAGTGTGACGACACTTCATCTTGCCACGCAGTGGTTGTGAAAAAAGGAAGGGAAACAAACCAAAAAAATGAGCTAAACAGCCCATGTGAAGGTCATCGATTTAATGGTCTAAAGTTTGTGAAAAAGTCTGAAATAGGTCCTTGATGCGCCTACTGTTATCATAGTCGACCATGATGATGTGCTGGTAATTTGCACGCGATGAATATTTATTTTGATCAATAAACTATCTACCCGTCTATGACATGCAACCCATAATGCACCCTTTAATTTTTCAAATATAGCAAAATAATTTTCTTCTGAGCGAAAATCCCTTCAGCGCTCAAACGCCCGTTTTGAACTACACCGATTAACAAAACTAGCACAACTTGGCACAAAATTCTACTTTGAGAGTTTTGTTTTGTTTAGCGTGTCTAGATCACCCATTTATAAGAACAAAGCACACTTTTTTCAACGGTTTTTTTTACAGTGGTGACGCCCAGCTAGTGTCTGGGGAACATTTAGTATCTGGGGGATAACTAGTATCTGGGGGGCCCTGGCGTTCAGAATCATGAGCTTTGCTTTCAGTTCATGCAGGGTGTTAGGTTTCCTGGTGACAATAATTTTCACAAAGACAAAATAGTCGGTAGACCTGATAAGATTGTCAAGATGTACTTAAGTATGGTAATGGTGTCGTGTCTTCGGCACAACAAATCTCGATGGCTTCGCTTCCCTAACTGATCGACAATTCTCACTCCAGTAGAACTGACCAGAAATGATATTTCTTGTTGCGATGTAATGTTGCCCAGTGCTACTTATCGTACTCCAATATATCGCTCTTTATTTCTCACCCAACTTGTGAAACTGAATGTTTTTTTTCATTCTCAGATTGCTATTAGCGACTTAAAGAGAACCACGATGGCCACGGCAAAGAAAGGAGGCGAAATATTTTTCTATGAACCAAACAATATGGCTCAACGAGTCTGTTTTAAAACTCATTATATTTCCAGGCCGCTTCATTGAACAAAGACAGGTTATTTATGCGTAGACACTGGCTGGGCGGCTGAATTTTAAAACGTATGCATGCACTAAGTGAGAGGACAGAGAGGAAGCTGTAATTTATAACTGATCACACAATTCATTGTAAGAAATGATGTGAAGGCTGCATTATATAAATGATAATTCTGTGAAAAGGTAAACTGAAATACAAATGAATACAGATTTACAGTTTGGTGTCATTTCTATTACTTATCAAGGCACCTGAGTTAAGAAATAAGTGGAAAGGTAAATTGCAGACTTTTTCATAAGGAGTGGATAAGAAATGTTTAGACTGCAATTAATATGTTTTCCTTCTCTTTTTGGTGTTATATCCTTGAAGTAAAACTAGATTAATTCATTTAACTGTATACAATTCAACATCCGTTTTAAAATACTAGTTCATTTCGTATTAAAAAGACTTCTTTAAATATAAAAAGGTAAAAACGAACGATAAAATCCGACGTTTCTGAGTAGTCATGACTCCATTATCACTGTAAAATATGTAAAAGATCGTGCAAATTACAGCATTAAACCGATTTTGGCGCGAAGAATTAACGTCAAAGGGTGCGAAGATTATGAAAATTCTTTCGCCCGAATGGAGTCTGATTGCACGTTGAGATTTGGCTTTAAAGCTCTTAGAAAAGCATTTCGTACACTAAACAGTCAAATTTGTTTCTGCATTTCTTGAGCATTTCCAAACGCTTTAGCAGGTCCAGAGGCATCGTCTCGTGCACGTTCTTGTAGTGTTTGGCAATGGCGGAGGATTGTTGTTTTAGCTGGTCCTTCTCTACGATTATGTAAATGTCCGAGTGTGTACCAGCTACATAACCCGTATCGCACTGGTCACATTGAAAACTGTAAACAACACACTGCTGATTTACAATAGGTGGCTTTGTTTCCTTGACATGTAGTTCTTGTTCAATTTTTCGGCTCACAAACGCAGGCTGGATGATGGTGTGTACTTTTAGGCCTAGATCCTTTGGTTGTTTTTCTCACAATATCTGCTGAGATTTGGTCTCTAAATAGCAAAATTACTCGAACCGTGTCTTCTGTCTCTTTAGATGGCGACAAAAGCTGCTGCTGGTCACAAGCCTTTGAGTCAACGAAACTTTTGATGGTAGAGTTAACGAGGTTTTTGGGGTACCTCAGACGTGAGAATACTGTCTTCAAACGGTCACATTCGTCAGAAAATGTGACTAAGATGAGGATAAACGATGTGCCTGATCAAGCATAGTTCTTAGTAGAACCTATTTACACCGATTGTTAACTTGACTCTGATTGTGCAAGAGTGGACTTGAATTAGTGGATTCACGTACACCATAGTATCTCTATTTGAGGCCATCGGTTGAGTAACTGGATACTCAGAAATGGGAGCATGCCATTGGATTCGGTTTCCATCATAAATTTTACGGAGGAATGTGCCTTGTTAAGCGTTTCCTGAAAGTTAGATGCCGTTGCGATATTTGGCATGACGGTGAGCATATCGTCTACATATCTTCGGTAGAAAGAAGAGAGTTTGCCCTCCCGCTCAAGGTTTTCTTCGATTGGCTAGTAAGGGACCAAGAGGGGATCACCATCATGTCAAATTTGGCAACAGCATCTAACTAACGTTTTTCTCGTTCATTTCATTGGACAAATAGCCAGTGTCATGAGATAGAATCTACTAAAGAAGTCACAATGTCCAACAGTTATTGTTCTTCTCAAAGACGCCATAGGAGAGGGGTAAGGTTACATTTGGGAGAGGGGAAGAGGTGGGTTTTTATTCTCAAAGACTCCAAAGGAGAGAGGTAAGGTTAACCTTGGGAAAGGGGTGGGTTGTTCTTCTCGTATACCCTTTAGGAGAGGGGTAAGGTTACATTTGGGGGAGGGAAAGAGGTGGGTTGCCAGTGTGGCAACACTTCAGCTTGCCTTTGGCAGTGAAAAAGGGAAAGAAAAAAACAGAACAAGATGAGCTAAACAAGCTATGTGAAGGCCATCGATTTAATTGTTTCAAGCTTGTGAAAGGTCTGAAATAAGCCCTTGATGCGTAATCGACCGTGATGGTGTGCTGGTACTTAGCAGGCGATGGAAGTTTACTTTGTTCAACAAACTATCTACCCCTCTATGATAACATCTCTGCATCCCAGTCCTTCTTAATGTACCCTGTCATTCCATTTTGTTATCGGCAAACGGACACCAAATTAATTCTCGATGAAGAAACGATTTCAGACTAGCTTTTCGAAGTCCTTATGTCAAATCTTGCAAGATGGATACGAAAGGTGTCTATCATCTGTTTTTAACCGCTTCCCACTTTAGGTTTTAACTGAGGAGATTGCACTTAAAACCATTGTCACGATCTTTTTAAATATAGTAGTTAAGGACGAATCTGCCTGAGCTAACTCGGGAGTGAAGATCTAACGTGCTAGTTCTCCCGTAACTGTCTGAGCCTCCACAAAAAATCGCAGTGATTGAGAGATGGCTGAGGATCTCTCTCCAGGAAAACAGAGACAACTTTTGGAGAAAAAGATGAAGCTGGTCATAACCGGTTAGGTCCCTACGATTATTTCATCGTACTCTCTCCCTTTTTGGGAGTTGTTGAGCTAGTAGGAAGTAAACATGGAACTAAAGTCGACACTCTTTTCCACAATGATTTTCGCTGTCAGTTTATTAAATCATTTAACTTTCAAACGATTGAAGCTATTTTTCAGAACCTACCACTTTATGTTTTACATCGAAATCATGATTTAGTACCGCAGATTCTTAAAAATTTGTTTCAGTATACGAAGTATCTCAATCCTAACAACACCTCTCTCAAGAATAAAATGTTTTTTCACAACGACATAACCTTTTTCCTCAATAGTCCTTGGTGCTTTTAAAAATCACACTAAAACAATAATCACCTCAGAAACGCCTAACTTTATTTGTTTCCAGCCAGTAGTATTTCAGCGTTTGGTGTTCAGAAAAGTCGCCATCGAGTCATCAAGGGCTTTCATGAATGTAGAGTGGTGAATTGGGGACTGGGTTCCAGTAAACTTACTTGCGTGGCTTTGATCTCTGTAAGTGAGGATGTCCTCATGTTTGTGATGTTCCCAGTCATGGAACTGTTGGGCGGTGTCCAGGTCATATCCGTAGTTTGCATCCTTGGCGATGTCGACCAAGTATTCAGTCTGGAAATTTATATCATCGTGGCAGTCCTTCAGTTCGTTCATCCTGAAATTATAAAGGAAAAAATGAAAAACTTCCATTTCAGTATAATTCGTGACAGGTTCTGTAACTGATCTGTTAAGTGTTCGTTTTTCTTCTAATGAAATTTTTTGGTGCGCTTATTTGAAGTCTGCAGCTCTTATCTAAAAACAAAGGAATATATTTAATACTTTAAGCCAGGATTACCAAACAGGACACGTTCTACACGTTCGGGTCTCCCTTTCGACAGCAACGAAGCTGTTTTCA